GGTGCCGAAAGGCAGCGCCTTTTATCCCTCCTCGGAGGGCCTGTTGCGGTGTTGTCAACTCACGCTACAATCTTACGCGAGGTTGTTGTCACCACAAATATAATAATTTTCAGGGAGCAAATACTTCCAGGTACTTGTCTTTATCTATGGATACTACTGGCAACTCTGCATTGACACAGATATTTGACATTGTGCATTTTACAAATCCTTCATTCTTTCTGCTAGTGTATTATTCACATTATTTTACCGAATATTTGGAAAACCTCAAAAATATGGAAGTTGTACGCCGGAAATGTGAGGGATGCGAAAGTGAATCGTCTCTGCAGTGCCCCACGTGTAAACAACTGGGAATTCTCGATTCGTTTTTCTGTTCGCAGGCATGTTTCAAAAAGAATTGGAAAAATCACAAAATTATTCATGCTCTTGCTAGTAAGTAGGGTTATGTATGGGGGAATAGTGTGCTTAATTTTAAATTGCTGCTGTACTATTTTTATATTACGAGGTACTAGGTGATGAAGCTCGGTCGAACACAAGTTACTGAAAACTATTTTCTGTTCATAGCAGAAATCGAAATCCATTTTATCGGTTTTTCTTAGTGAGGTAATAGGTACACCTAGGTACAATGTAAATAGATCATTTCAAGGAGAATACATTGAATTTAAAATCAAAATTCGAGTTGGAAACGTGAATTCCCGATAAATAGCTTTATTTCAAACTTAGATTTAGGCGTAAACAATTGCCCGGACCTTTTTCAGGAGCTTTTTCCTTAGTCATATAAAATTTCAATACCAAAGATCCCATTACAGCCTATAAAATGTTATACAGTTGAATCCGGATATAACGAACTTGAAAAATGAACTAAAACTGGTTCGTTATATCCGGAGTTCGCTATGAGCGAATAATAATACAAAAACACGTGGTGTATTTTATTTCGTTATTTTTACATAGAGTAGTAGAAGTTAGTAGGTATGACTAAAAAGAATAAAAAAAGTAATTTTTATTTGTTCATTTCTGCTGCAAAAATAGATGTTATTTATGTAGTTTTCAAGATCACAAAATGACTCCCAGATATGATTAGGAACTTGGCGTGATTGTAGAAAATTCCTAGTTTCTGAAACTTTTTTGTCATTTCAGAAATGGTTGGAACAGCATAAGTATCTACAGTAGAATACGTTTCACTAAATCATCATCTTCCTCATTATCGGTTAAAGCTGTAGTTGAGGTTACGGAGTCTATAATTTGCTCATCGGTCAGCATTTAACTTGTAAGAATGCAATTATCAATGCTCACATATTCGAAGAAATTGAAATCACTCAATTTGGTTTTAACTTGTTCTTCGACAACATCGGGACATCTTCGTCTGTGTCGTACTGGTAGTCAGAGTCTTTATACTGTTCTAACCATTCGTTAAGTGGAATTTCATCGTCTGGTTCCTAATCATTTTCTTTTCTTACAAATCCCCCATGCTTAAAGCAATTTGCAATGGTTTTTCGGCCAACTTTTTGCCAAGCTCTATGAATGAAATTGACTGCATCCAAGAGATTTATAGAAAATGTTTCATTTTTATCGATCGCCTCTAACGTTTTCATAAGAAGAATTTTTCACCGGCAGACTCTCCAATAATTTTTCCGCTACTGATATGCCTCTTCTTGAAACGCTCTTCCCAACTTTTAGAACAAGCAAACTCTTTGTTTTTGATTTTACTCCCCATTTCACTAGCATTTTCTTGCAAA